AGTTGATCTAATTCATAGTGTCCCCAATATGGGATTCCCAGTCGACAGATCTTTACAGGAGCCGACAGCCTCAGCTTGATCCCTTCGAGCTGCCGATGGGTTTGAACCTTGTGAGTTGCAGCCCAATGCCTAACCCATGGCGCCGCCAGGACGGCCAGAAAATCCTATAGGGGATTAATTCTACGCCTTCATATGCCGTCTTTATAAATTGAATTTTAAAAAGCAAGGTGTGGTAGTTACATAATCTGGTGTCAATTTGGGACTTGAGAGGATTGAGAGTGAAGGGGTGGAGCCTAGTCTGTCAATTGGGTCCTAGCCAATGAGACCTCTGTGTGGGCATGGCCTTCCCCTGAGGATTTTGGGAAAACGCTGGGATTTTCTCCTTGGAGGGAGAAGACACTGTCTCTCTCTGTTCACTCCCTTGGAAACGCTCTACTGACAAGACACAAGGTGCTATGCCCTGGGAGCAGGAGAAGCCATGTGGATCTAAGCTGATGCCACCAGACCTCTGGAGGTGGAGAAACCACGTGGAGACCCCTGCCAGCGCTGAGATACTTACGCCACCACTGGATCCACGGGACTTCCAACCCCCTGCCCTGTGATCCTTCTGCATTCGGTGTCATTGCATGTGCTCCGTGAGTCTGGGGAGGACTTTGTGGATTGGTGTCACACATGTGGGTTAATATTGGACTTGTGGGTTCATATTGAACTTGATCTGGACTGGGCTGGGATGTTTTCTCAATGTTCAGTTGCTCTTGTATATGAACCTCTTTCTTATACACATATGAGTGTCTATGAATTTGTTTCTCTAATCTACCTGAACTAACACACAAGGCTATTAAAACTCACATTACTTTAAGCCTACGAATGTATTATAATTTCACTTTTCTGGCCTTAATAAAAATAAACTCATCAGTAACATTTTCACAAAGCGACTTCTTCTCTTAGCTTGCCTTCACTTGTCTGGGAACTTTTGGGGGAACACACGCCGGCTTAATATGTCATTAACTTAAGGTTATAGGTCTTCATTTAAAATTTGGTATTTAGTTTATTGTGTGTTTCTGAAATGAGTAATGTTTAAAACATTGGATGACAGTATCATTAACTTAGGCCCAGTTGCAGCACAAGTCCTGCAGATGGTGGATACTGTGGTGGAGGGCCCTGGGTAGCCTTGTCCAGCTCCTGCTCGGTGCCGCCAGGGGTCCTGAGTGAGGTGTCACCCCTCCAGCTCACTCCTGACCTGAAATTTTAAACTACCTCACATGGCTGGCATGCTATATCTTCATCTGTGCCTGAAACTTTGATCCCCAGCTGACCAATTTCTGGAAGCTTGTCCTCAGTTTTCATGAAGTTCTTGGGCAGCACAAACGATAGGGGTTTGACTACCGACCAAAGGCTGGTGATCGAAACTCACCCAGAGCTACCTTAGAAGGTAGGACTGACGACCTGCTTCTGAAAATCACGGCCTTGGAAACCTACCAGAACAACCCCGCTCTGAGTGAGCGTCAAACCTAGCTCAATGCAAC